AAAAAAAAAAAAAAAACCAGTTATTTGAAAACTGTGAAGCACAGGTCTATTCTGATACACATGAGGTTGCCATGAATCAGAATTGACTCAATAGCAATTCGTTATTTGTAGTCAGATGCTTTTCTTTAAAGTCTCGTTCAGTCACTAATTTGTTGTGGGGCAGTCAGTAAGGTAAACTCTGTGTTTGATCATTAACTCCTCTGTAAAGTAGGGATGAGGATGATAGTACCTACTAGATTTTTTTGTGAGGATTTAATGAGAATTTATTTATAGTGATTGAATCCAATCAACCCCCAGCAGATGGATAATATGATGGTGGATGGTGGTTGGATTCTGCTCATCCCAGACCAGATTGTGTCATAGAACTGGGTAAGCTACTGGGCTCAGACACTGCCCACAGGACAGTAAAGTAAGGTAAAAGCTGAAGCTGCCGAGATGAACTTGAGCTATCTTCTCTCCATGTAAAGGACCTTAGCTGTACCAGATCTGCACCAGTAGGCATGCTATGCAATGAGTATGCTATTGTTCAATATAGAAACTGAAAATATGATTAACTAAATCATTAATTTAAATACTGATTCAGTGATCTTTCCCAAAGCATATATTTACTTTTCCTCTGGAAAGCCTCTCTTGCCTACCCAAGGATCCCTCAAACTCAGCACATCTAAAACTAAACTCCAGCATCTTCAGATCTCTTCCTGGTATAGCTTAGTGAAGGAATACAGCTATCTATTCCCACCCAGTTTGGAGGCCTGCTTACTTATCCTCTATTTTCCCTCTGGCTCTATCTTCAGTCACAAAGTCCTGACGACTTGGTGTCTTTAACACCTCTCAAATCCGTCCATTTCTTTTTTCCTCTCTGCTTTGACCCTTGTTGAGCTCACTGATTCTTTCTTGCTAGATTTGGGCAGTGGCCTCCCATCTGCTCTCCAGAGCCAGTGTAGTGTCTCTTCAAACCACACTCCACCTGTCAGCCAGAGGGGCCTTTTGAAAGTGCAAATGTGGTCTTGACACTCTCACAGTTACACACTCAAACTTTGTATGCAATTTATTACCTGCTGCCATGAACTCCCCACTTCACCTTTGCTGTTCCACACAAGAGCTGTTCTGAACCACTTGGAATTTAATGAGGGAAGGAGTTAGAACACTATTTCCTCTGTTCCTTCTGTCTAGATTAACCTTTTCCTTTATCTCACCTGGCTGTGTCTACTGCTCCTTTAGGTCTTGGTTTAGATATCATGCTTCATGGGAAATCTCCACCAACTACCCAAATAGAGGGTCCTTTCTCTGTTTCTCCTTGTTCCCTGAACTTATCCTGGTGGTAGCACTCATACTCAGGACCTTCTTCAGAAAGCTTGTTGGGTATAGAGATCTAGTACTTATTATTACAGATTCTGCACAAACAGGAAGTAAACCATAAAGAAAGTTCCTACTCTGGTGAATTAGGCTAAAGTAGTTACTGCAGAGCCCATTGTTGTAGCTACTGTGTCAGTCCATCTCACTGAGGGTTTTACTCTTTTTTGCAAACAGTTAATATGTTTTTGTTGATTCTCTGCTTTACCAAGTATGATGTCCTCCCTCAGGGACTGGTCCCTCCTGATAACATATTTAAAGCGTGTATGATGAACTCTTGCCATCCTCGCTTCCAAGACATCTCCCAAGACAGTCGATGTTATATACAAAATTCCTTGCCAACACCATAATTCAAAGGCATTAATTCTTCTTCAGTCTTCCTTATCATTGTCCACCTTTTACATGTATATGAAGCAAATGAAAATACCATGGCTTGGGACAGTTGCACCTTAGTCCTCAAGGTGATGCTTTTTTTTTGTTTGTTTTGTTTTTTAATGCTTTAAAGATGTCTCTTGCAGATTTGCCAATGTAAACATCGCTTCATTTCTTCACTTCTGCTTCCATGGGCATGACTTGTGGATCCAAGTAAAATGAAATCTTTGACAACTTCAATATTTTGTTTATCATGATGTTGCTTATTGGTCCAGTTGTGAAGATTTTTGTTTTCTTTATATTGAAGTGTAATCTATACTGAAGGCTATAGTCTTTGATCTTCACCAATAAGTGCTTCAAGTCATCTTCCCTTTCAGAAAGCAAGGTTGTGTCTGTCATCTGTGTATTGGAGGTTGTTAATGAATCTTCCTCCAATCTTGATGCCATGTCTTTCTTCATATTGTCCAGTTTCTCAGATTATTTGCTCTGCATACAGATTGAGTATGTATGGTGAAAGGATACAACCCTCATGCACACTGCTCCTGATTTTAAATCATGTACTATCTTTTTAAATGACTGCCTCTTGGTCTACATACAAGTTCTGCATGAGCACAATTAAATATTCTGGAATTCCTATTATTTGCAATGTTATTCATAATTTGCTAGGATTCACACAGTCAAATGGTTTTGCATAGCCAATAAAACACAGGCTAATATCTTTCTGGTATATTTACCACTTTTAGGCAAGATCTATCTGACATCAGCCATGATATACTTCATTCCACATCCTCTCTTGAATTTGGCTTGAATTTCTGACAGTTCCCTGTCCATGTACTCCTATAATTGTTTTTGAATTATCTTCAGCAAAGTTTTACTTTGTGTGTGGTATTAATGAAATTGTTTGATAATTTCTGCATTCCAATGGATCACCTTTCTTTGGAATGGGCACAAATATGGATTGTTTTCCAGTAGGTTGGCCAAGTTAACAGTTTTCTCAATTTCTTCACATAGACAAGTGAGCACTTCTCACTTGTATCCGTTTGTTGAAAGATCTCAATTGGTGTACTGTCAATTCCTGGAGCCTTGTTTTTCTCCAGTGCCTTCAGTGCAGCTTGGATTTCTTCCTTCATTCTATTGGTTCTTGATCATATGCTACCTCCTGAAATGGCTGAAAGTTGATAAATTTTTTTGGTATGGTGACTCTGTGTATTCCTTCCATCTTCTTTTGATGATTCCTGCATCATTCTATATTTTGACCTTACAATCCTTCAATATTGTAATTTGAGGCTTGTATTTTTCCTTCAGTTCTTTCAGTTTGAGAAATGCTAAGTGTGTTCTTTCTTTTTGGTTTTC